GAGCAGGGTAGGAACGGCAAAAGGTACAGGAAGTTGGACGTTTCATAAGGTTTGCAGAAAAAGGCCGGGGGATTAGGTTCAGGGCTCCCGGTCCAAGATCACAAGAAGCTCTTTGCTCAAGGACGAGGATTTGAAACATTGGGTTTAGGGTTTAGGCTTTAGGGTTTAGGGCTTAGAAAGACGCTCCAGGAAGTATTGATGGCGTGCTTCCTTGCCACGACTCCTCACAAATTCTACATGGCTCTTCGTAGCGTTAAGTCCTTAGCCAAACGTGTTCACGCCAGAGGTTCTACCTTGCAACTTAGCGATTGTTGTATAGCTTACCTTTTAAATTCCATGACAGAGCACGAGCGTGCAGTTTTATTGGATTCGCTTCCAAGATGCGACGCAGCTCTGACAGAACTGTAGAGAAGCTACGCAACAAGAGTTTGAGGGCCTTTTAGCCCAAACAATGGTCCTTGTGTCTCCGGAGCACAACCATCGAGCTTGTGGAAAGCAAGCATTGCTGCGCTACTGCAACCACCGCTGTTCTACAACTGTCTCTGTTGCTGCTGTGTGCGGCGTCCCGTCACCTCCTAGAGTTTATTCCACCCTTGCGATTATTCCCAGTATGACTTGTTCAGAGATAAACCTCAACTGAAATGCTGACATTCTGCACGACCCGACATGAGTGATCAATCAAATCCCCAACATGTTCTTACAGAAGCCCGGGCGGACAAGAGCCGCCAGTGCCTGAACCGATGCAATGATGCGATGAAGCTTTGCTCTTCCATGGGCTAGAGAGTCTTGTCTGGCGTAGAGCAGCTAGAGTGGCAAAAGTCTCTCACTTTGGCAAACACCGACTTTGATGACAACATCGTAGGCCCGGGAAAGTTTCGCCATAGCCATATTCAGCTCAACGCACACAGTTCGAAAAGCGCTTGGTTAGGACTGCTTCTGGTGACCCTACTTAGTGCCCAGCATGACTCCAGCCAACCAATCCAACATGCTCGCCGCCTCTGTAGATTCTGAGCTTTGGTCAGAAATGCTATTGGAAGCCCTTCAGAAAATAACAGTTGCAGCCGGAATCCTGCAAGGACCCACATTCTTGGAGACATCCCCGTTCTTGTCCCCGTTGACCAGTTCCCCCCAGGGTGCCCCACTTGTCAAACGGCAGCTGCATAACACCTGAGACAAAACTAGGAAATAGTGTATAACCCATTATACTATAGTAGTTTCCATTTTCTTTTCCACTATCCCGAAACAGCCCCAGTACACTATAGTAGCTTCCATCTTCTTCGTCATTATCCCTATAAACCCTAAACCCTAAACCCATGATAGTAGTTTCCNNTTTCTTCTCCATTATCCCTATATGGGGGGCACCTGGCCAAGAAGCCAAGAACTTCTCGTATTTTGTCGAGCGCACTCTGTGCAGCTCGCACACTTTGTGAACCACTGTCTAAACTTGTAGCATCCTCCTGAAAAATCCTTATAACAGTCTCCTATATAATCCCCTATATAACCCCCTTAAGGAGTTTGGACTATAGCTCTTGTGGCAGCTGCGAAATTTAATAATTGGTGCACACCGGTTGCAAGAAATGTGGAGCTTCAGGAGTGAAGTAGCCACATGCGGGGTTTGCAAACATTAGGAGTCCCTTCTTGGATACGGAGTATAACAGGCTGGGGTCTATTATACTGGGAGCCCTCTGTTGAGCTCACCAGCCCTAACCCTAAACCACCCAAGACCCTAGACCCTAGATCCTAATCCCTAAAGCCTCTACATCCCAAAAGATGGTTGCATGCAGTCTCAGAGACGCAAATGCGAGTCTCAATGCGGGTTGATACTTAACATCCTGCATGGCCTAAGTATGCCATATTAGGATTTAGGGTTCAGGGTTTAGGGTTTGGGGTTTCCACGGTTGGGGCCATGCAGGATCTTTAATCTCCACAGTACCTTGCTCTTCTAGGGGTCAGTTCAGGTAAGGTTTAGGATAAAATTTAAGGTGGTGAGTTTAAGGTTTAGGGCTTCAGGCGGAGGTCATGACGATTGGCTGCCACGTGCACAGGTTTCGGGTGGAATCCTCTGCCCCCAGTACTAAAGCCCCACCCCATCACAAACGTGCCCAATGAACATTTGCAACTTATTTTAAAGAACGGGTGCAAGTTCAGCAGTAGGTGGAGTGGATTAGTGGCTTGGCTTCACGGTTGGGGTTGGGGATGCACGGATTCTTCGTACCACGGGTTCAGAAGTCTCTTCCTTTCGTCATTATATGCAGATTGTGTTCAGAGACACTCATGTTGGTGTTGCGGCGTCCACATTGTGTGGCCGCCTCCACAGTGTAAATTATTTCTTGCAACCATTTTCATAAAGACCCCTGGGGGTGCAAAGGTGGAGGGCTGTCTTTCAAACCAGCCCAGGTACCGTGACCACCTCTTCCCGCAGGTGGGAAGCTGCGGGCTCAGGGGTTCGCGTCGGGGGTCTAAGGTTTCGGGTGTCTACCCTAGCAACTGAATAGCATTCTGTCTTCAAAATCTCATGAGGCCCCTTTGGCGCCCCCTTCACCGCAAAGGAACGGAGTTGCTTGCGAGACTAGCAACTGGTGCACCAGTCAATTGCTGAAAACGAATTGGGTTTGGACTTCGGAAACCCCTTTGCCAAGGCATAGCAGGCCAAAACTTAGCATTGGATGCAGCCCCACGCTCATGTTGATCGGCTGTAAGACCAAGCCCAGCACCCTTTTTATTAAGGACGCTTGCCTCAAAATTCAGCACCCTCTTTGGGCTCTGGGATAATCTGAGCGGGCTTGTCTCACATCGTCGAGCAGGACTCGCAGGAGGCTCCTGCGTGCATGCCGGCTTCGCGAAAGCTGCTGTTTACATGCCAGGAAACCTGGGGCAAGGCACAACATGCGGAAGGCGCTAATTGGCGAAAATTGGGCCGATGTCAAATCTAAGCCTTTGGGGGGAGAGCATATCAGATCCACCAGATCGAAGTGCCTGCATAATTTTTTGGGATGCATCCTGGACCCAAAATCCCTGTGACTTCATCTCAAAGCCCAAACCACCTGAACCTGAAAACACCGAACTCTGAATCCCACGGAAGACCTTCTTCAGGCAGTAAGAACTCCCCCAAGACCGAACCAGGAAGATGCTAAGAAGAGAGTAGATGTTGAACTAAACCCACACCAGCTTCCTGAGTGAATAGTACCTGTGAGCGCTCGATACGGAAGTGTCCCAAGAAAGATGCTTGCTCCCTACCCCTTTGTTGTTCTTGGGCTTGAGTCTCGGGGGATGATAACCGAGTCGCGGCGCAAAGAACTGTAAGAGGAGTTATGCAAGGAAGTATGGGGAATTTCTAAGCAAGTACAAAAGGGAATGTAAGGAAGAAATGACAACAGGAATCGCATAGAAGGAGTAAACGAAATATACAAGGAACAAGAGAGAACCAAGCCCACAAACGCCCACATGGTATGGTGAAGGTTGGGGCTGGGGGGGATTCCATGGGGGAAGAGGTGATGCGACAGGGGGGTGTCCTACTAAGCGCTCACTACAGGTTAGTCTGAGAGACTCCCATGTCCCCAGAATTTTACCTAGCACGAAAAACCAAAAAATGTACTTAAAAAGCTGGGAACCTTTCGGAGCGTGGACTTCCGCCAGCATGTGTGTCACCTCCTCGGCAGAAGGTCCTCGGACACTATCAGGCGCTGAGCATGTGAAATATTTTTAAGGTACGGCACACTACGACAAGGAAGGTTGCGACCAACTATCCTGAAATAGTATCGATACGTACTGGTTACTCAGGATTCCATGTTGCGGATTGCGAGCACCCGCCATACCTATAGCTTCCATTGGATACTTGTATCCAAGGCAAAAACCCTTTAAGGAGGCCCACATTTTCTTATTGAGAAACCACACACACCCAGCCCCTTACGCAAAAAACGTACGGCTGGAGTTTGCGACTCGGGAATGCTTAGCGTTTAGAGTTTAGGGCTTAGAATTTGGGGACTAGGCTGTAAAGTTTAGGGTTGGAGCTTATGGGGATTATCTAAGGGTTATATGGGGATAATGGAAAAGAAAATGGAGACTACAATTTAGGGTTTAGGGTTTAGGGATGAGGGCTTGGCCTACGAGTGCCGTGGTCCAGTGGGCACCGCAAGGCGTTTTCTGCCTTAGGCACAAGAATTTGGCAGGGGACATGGGGGGACCGTAGGGGAGTTGGAATTCGAAGTGCAAAGGCCCTGAAACTACAGGTTTAGGGTTTAGGGTTTAGGGTTTAGGGTTTAGGGTTTAGGGTTTAGGGTTTAGGGCCCTGAAACTACAAACCGCAAACTGGCTTGCTGCCCAGGGGCGGTTATCCTTGTTCACATGCCAGCATGGCTCGATGATGCCTGTGCACAGAAGTCTTCTGGCACACTACCAGTGTGAAAGATGACTTCAATCAAGCTGTCGGGCAGCCCTGTAAACCAAATGGGGTCTCCCTATGGAAAGTCATTGAACAGGACAACGATAAATTGAAATTCTAGAGGTGCCGTTTCCTCAGCCAGAGTATCTTTAAGCCTAAACACTTCATATTCGTACATCTATGTGTATTAATATGCATCTCCCCGCCGCCTTTTAACCTATGTGTCCGCCCCCTTCCCCACTGGTCAAGGCTTCTCCGAAAACAAGCTTCTCCAAAAACAGACACGACGCAGATTGTGCTCAAAACTCCCCCAACCCCAACTTAACCAATTGCTGTAACACCTATAAGCCGAGCACACCCCCGAACTACCTATGGCCCCCCTGCTGGCCCACCTCGCATGACCTTGACGCAGTCGGAAATCAGAGGCCGGGGCTCCTTCTCATGAGGCAAGTTCCTAAGCAGTTGATGCAAAGGGAAATCATGGCTTCGGGCATAGTCATTCGGACTTCTGTAGTGGATATGACGGGCACGTGCGTAACGGACTCTTAAATTCTTAAATACATGCGCGGTCTTGGGCAGGTCTGCGGGGATGACAGACTCATATGAGTCATATGAGGGTTTATGTATGGCTGACGAAAACCGACTCCTTCTTCTGTACGTACTGCTGCAGGATCACCTGGCGAGCTTAGGGGTTGAAATCTGAAGTTAGAGGTCTGCAGGCTTTAGGGCTCGCGGGAGACTCAAAGGTTCACTGTCTGAGGCTTGTTCAGGGGTCATCAGAACATTTCTTTAGCACATGGCCTTAGCATCCGCTGAACCAGTGGATCCCTGATCAAGCTTGGAGTATTTAGCTAAGCAATTTCTGTGTGGCATCGCAAGTCCTATTCAGCCCACGACATGTTCAGCTGGCAGCTCACGAAAGGACGCCGAATCCCAAAGCTGCATCGAGAGCCCCCCGACACACAACGTGTTTAAGCCTTGCTTGGCGCCTCTGGGTCCAGCGTGATGTGGTGGAACGGGCGTTTCCCAGAGCTAAGGTAGTACCTTTGCTGTGGCCACACGTCCTTCCCCCGATTCAGGAGAACACTCAGGCACATCCTAATTCAATGTATGGCGAGTACCACGACTCCGTACTGGGCGCGCTGCAGCTCGCAATAGTTGCAACTTCCATGACTCAGGGAAACACCAGATATTGTCATCCCTTGTACGACATTCCTCCTCAAATATCATTCCGACTTAGAAGACTGAAGTGGTGCATAGGGACAGGATCGGAAAGGGGTCGACACGGGGGGGCCGGTGACGAATGACGAGCATGCACAGCCGGCACCATACAACCGAGGCGCATGATCAGGCCATAGGAGTAGAGGTCCACCTGCAGCATGGTTTTTGGTCTGCCAGCTAGCTGGTCCCTATACACCCGGTGCGCCGTGCGCGCAGGAGCCTCTCATATCACGAACTCCAAGCTTTGAAAACTCCTGCGTAACTGTATGTTCTGCGCAGTTCATAATCTGGACCGAAAAAAGTCGGAAAATGGCTTGCGACCTTACAGGAAGTTGCGCGACTCTACGAGATTTAGTCAGGAGTACCCGCATCCTTAAAACTACGCAAATCGAGCACATAAGCTCGGTCTCACCGATCCTTGGTCCAAAAATGAATTCTTCTGAAAGTTGCAGGCTACATCCTAGACCTCGACGCACTGGAATCCATAAGCTTCTGATCCACATCAGACATGCCATGCTCCTGAGACAACCTCAAGAACGAACGGGCGGCAAAACTGGAGAGGGGTTCCTGCCTTCTCATTGTACTCCTCGTAGCGAACCACTTCAGGTGCCATGTAGAGGTAGCTTCCCACGCCACCAGTCATGGTGTGATGCTCGTCATCCACGGTGGAAATCATCTTGCCTTAGATTCTCCCTGAAACTTGATGCATAGGCACTCCGATTCCTAAAGCCTGAATCCATAAACTCCAACGTCTGAAGACGAAGTACACAACACAGAGCTTTGAAGCCCAAACACCGCCAACTCAAATGAGACTGCCTAGAGTGGGAGGAGTTATTTATGGAACTAGCAACTGCTGAAGTCGCGTAGCCTGGAAGCGTAGAGTTTCTTTACATGTTCTTCCATGGTTCTGCAGGCAACTGATGCCTCCTCTCACAAGCCCGCCCATGCTGTGCTGTACGGTCTTGAGCTCCTTCTGTAAGGTCTTTTGGAGGTCGGGCAGGTCCACTACTAAGTCCCCCCTGACGACCCCAAGCAGGACCTAGATTAAAGAATGAGGTGCTGATGCCGAAGTCCGTCATCCTCACCTCCAAATTCTTTGTGAGAAGGAGGTTCAGAGGCTTCAGGTCGCGGTGCACAATGGGAACCTTCAAAACAAGAAGAGTCTTGGGAACTCAAGGGACATGTAGGGATTCTATGTCGGGATGATATGAAGAAATTTTCGTTTCAATAGATGCGGGAAGCTTCCACTTCTGATAATGAGCAGTCCGTTCGTTCTGCAAAACGAACGTTTTGGGTATACCGGAAGACCGCAATATGTTTCAGATAGTAATCCCTAAACCCTAAACTCTAAAACCCTGAACCCCTGAACCCTAAACCCTAAACCCTAAGCAGTGAGCCCCAAAGAGTTCATCCCTGGGTGCAACGGGGTGTTCCCATTGAGAGCGGGCTGCTCTAGCCCATGGAGGGAACCTGATGTTGACTTGACCACAACCTGACAACATTCAGAGCAATGACATATGGCTGTAATCCCTCTTAGGTAGATAGGATATGGGGTTCATGGAGATCTGATTATAATATACCCAAAGCCATATTCTATTTACTCACGGGGGACTATAAACCCCGGAGCAGACATGCTCCTCCACAGAGTCTCTAAGAAATCAAAAACAACTTAGCGTCAGTTCCCAAAAAGAATGCACCAAATAGCGAGATGGACACCCCTTAAGGGGACCCGTAGTTTTCGAAAGCTCGTACATCCAAAACCATACACCCCTGTGCTCTCAATCCTAACCCCTGAACCGTGAGACTCTGCCTCAGACATGTATGTTCCATGTTTCCTTTCGAAAATGGGAGCTGCGCCGGGTAGCTGTAAAGCCGTGGAGGAAAGCCAAGGCTCGGCCAATGGCGCTTGACCACTCGACCTCGGATGTAGGGAGTTTCAGGGGACTTCAGAGTTTTGGGTTTGGGATGTTCTCGGGGATCCTGGGGATTCATGCTGACTAGGTCAGGATTGTCGAGGTCCCTCTGAAGGATTGTATGCGGACTTTCTTGGCTTCTCGAGAAGCTCTCATATGGAATTAGAATGCAGAAGCCTGCTGCATGTGGGCACGGTCTCCAGATAGCACCTGCCTTAGCGCTTGAGCCTGATGCGGCTCGGGATCAATGGGTGGGAGTTCATCGTCTTTGGGTTGGGGTTGGTTGGCTTAGTAGGGTTAAGGGTTTAGGGTTTAGGGTGAAGGCTTGAAACGAAACTACGCATGTTCTGCTCCTGTAAGAAGGTCTGTGCGTTTGCTGAAATGGTCTTGGGTAGGGTAAAGACTGACAGCTGATGATAGGGAATACTCTAACAATCCATTCCCTCCTTCCTTACTAGACCCCAAACCCTACACCAGGTATGGCTGTAAATCAGGAAAATTGGCCTCCAGTCCTCGTGGCTTGACCTGGTTGAACTCTTTGAAATCGACCCTCAAGCCTTAGGCCGTCCAAACCTCAAAGCTGAGGGGACGTCCATCCCAAGCCCTAAGACCCCAAGAGGGTTTAGGAGGTTTTGGGTTTAGGGTTTAGGGTTTAGGTCCAATCCAACCTTGGCACAAAGACACAGGATCCCAGACTAAGGCGGGTCATGTTTGCTATTGGAGGTTGATCCCAACAAGTGATCCGTGTAGCGACTTTCTCTCTGCAGGATGAAGCTTTCTTGTTCGGCTCCTTGCCCGCGATTATATTGAATCCTGGCAGCCTTATGCCTGCTAAGTTGCAATTCGCCACAAGGGGGGGCGCCAGTGTGCGACCTGTCGTAGCAGGCCCTACAGGCTTTTGAGTTCAGGGCCGTGGCCAGAAATAAAGCTCAGGGTTCTACCAGAATACAAACTTTAGAAAAAGGACTTCAGGCAAAGCTTGCCTGCAGAGCGTGAATACTGCAGCTACACATCCAGACCCAGGCATCAGGCTGCTGCAAGTACAGCAAGGGGAATGTAGCTGTATTTTTTCGGGATACTGTGCTTCGTCTGCAACACCCGCTACTCCAAACCAGTCACCCCAACAAGGAGCCAAGTTGAGCCAAGAGATTTCAGAAACTCCGTTTACATGGTGCCGAGCCTGGTGCTTCTCACGCATGTTGAGCATGAAGTGCTCCAGGTCACCTAGCTGTTGACACTTCAGAGGGGCAGGGGTTGGGTCTGGCAGGAACTGTGTTTCTAAGGAAAAGTAAGTCTCAAAATCATCGATCTATATATATATATATGTATATTATAAGCAGAACCGTAAGGCCGTAAGGGAAGCCATTTTTTCAGCAAGACATTATGAAGACAACTTGAGGGAAATTTGTGGCTGGCTGCTTAGAGTCCCTTCAAGACTCGTGCTAGGCAAGTCCAAACAGCATTGTGTGACTTAAAGAGAGTTTCTCGCTTGTGACGAAAAAACGGTCAATCTCTGGACCTAGACGCCGTCATGAGCTGGAGCCTGTTTGCTATTCAAGGGGGTGTTCTCAAAAGGATTGGTCCATTTGGGTCTCCTGAATGAGGACGTTCCAACTTGGAGATACTGAACCACGCTCATCCCTGCATTATCTACACGTAGGCCTGCAGACAACAGCTCACTTCTGAAGATGCACTCGGGGTTTGCTAATAAGGCGACTTTGGTCACCGCAAGCACCAAAACAAGGACCCTGTGACTACTGACTCGTGTTGTACTCTTACAGTTGGGCTTGGGGGTTTAGGATTTGTTTTACCAATCCTTTTTCCGTCTGCCTAAGTAGGTTTAGGGTTAAGGCTTTAGTGTTTAGGGTTTAGGGCTTACCAAAATCCTCAATTTGGTGCAAGGGCTGAGGCCCGAGTACAGCTGCTGCGCAGGTCTGGATTCAAAGGGGGAATTGTGAATTTGAGCACCCTAAAATTCAGACCCTAATGGGAAGCCAAAAATACAAATGTTGACAACTTTATATTGTAGTCTAGGTAATAACTGAGAATGGAATGGGAAAAAGGCAAATCAAAAATGACATGGAAAGTTGTATAAAATTGTAGGTTCATGATTCTGGTTGATAATCACAAGCTACCTTGGGAAGTATGGTATTAAAAGGTTACTCGGGATCTGCAAAATCAACTGTACTGCCAAAACTCCCAACCCCAAACGCTCAACCCTGAACAACATACAACTGGCTCAAATGGGATACCCCACATCCATCAACGACACATGATGCCACAAGAGGGAATTGAGAATTTCGTGAAATCCGCGTACACTCCTAATTCCTAAACCTCTTTGCCCTAGACCAGTGACCAGAAAGCAATAAAGCACTGCTGCTGGCAAGGTTCCTCCACCCATGAACTCTGAAACGAACCTCCGCCACAGCTCGGGCACCCGCCACCAAAATAACATGGGACCCCGTATGAGGGTTTCCCACAATGAGAGGTACCTTTTTGGGGTCCCTGTAATAAGGATTACAAGATTTGAGGGTCTATGTTGGCGCTCTTTTGTATGGAAGGTGGGTGGTCTTTGACGGGCCCTGCTGGGGTTCTGCTACAAGGATTATTGTTAGGATTGGCCCCAGGTACTGAAAGTCCCCTAAACAAGTGATGGTGGGTACATCTACGTTTAAGCTTTAGGGTTCAGGGGTCTCGCACTCATCCACCGGACAAACCTCCAAAGGGGGCGAATAACTTTGAGAAATGCCCATTTGCTTCTTTGTGCCCCTGGCAGCAAAGCGTTGGTTGTTACCTTTCTGACTATGACAAATACCATCACGAATCATTTTCGAAACTATCACCATGATAAGTCTTCTTGAGCCCTGACCCTAAACCCTAAACCCGAAACCCTAAACCTTAAACCTTAAACCGATGGTAGGTTGCGAGGTGAAGGTTCCAGTCTCAAGGGGCACAAACCTTGTCCCACAAAGCCTCATGCATGTGGTGATAGCTTCTCCTTGAGGAAGAACCAAGAAGGATTTACATGGACAGGGTCTGTACCACACTATTCCGCCTATCCAAAAGTCTTCTATAAGTAGACATTAGACATAGAACTCTTTGGCACTAAATGAAAGCCGGGAAGTTAGAAAACGTTGCCCCATGTCACCAGCCAGGCTCACCTACAACGAGCTGGCCTCTGCCATACTTGCGCAAAGCCCATATACTCCCCCTTAAGTAGATAGAATATAGCTTTGGGTATATTGTAATAAGATCCCCATATACGCCATATTCTGTCTACTTAAAGGGTACTATAAGTCATAAGTCCTAGCTTTGTCGCGGCCCTGGTTCAGGTCTCCAGAAGCAGGAACCTCTCAAACCTTGTCAAGCTCCGCCCCAAAAGCGACAGTGATTCTTTGCCCCTTCAGGCCCCAAAAAAATCCCATCCTCAATCCACGTAATGAAACGTAAGGGCGTATAGGGGTGTTGAGATAGTGGAAAGAGATGCTACACCGCACCCACACCAGTACGCTTCAACCACGAAGCCTGAATCAGCCACCCCAGACCTCCCAAATCCCTGCCCTACCCCCTAGATCTTGGGAAATATGGTACCACGGTATACTGAGGTCATGCAGGAGTTTTTGTATCAACAATACCTTCCCCGAATTAACATAGAACCCCATCATATCTAATGCTGTTTGGAGGCCAGCAGGGCCCAGTACCAGGTTCCATTTGAGTTTGGGGGAGGGTACTGCTACAGTCATTACAAGCCAAGAGATCCTGTAAATCAAAACACAAGATAGCCCATTTAGGGTGTAGAGCCATAAACCTTAACATACTCCCGACATCATCCCACGTTCTTATAAACCCTGAATCCTAAATCCGGAAGAATCCCATCCCCCACAGTGTCCCATATGACCTATGGGATCTATCCTAAACCCTAAACCCTAAACCCTAAACCCTAAACCGACCCTTTTTGGAGTCTAGGTCTAGAAAGTTGCTTGCTGACTGGATGCATGATGGGATACTTTGGGTCAAGGCAGGCCCCCAAGAAGAGCACCAGATCCTGGGTTTAAGATTCCAGGTTTGTGGTTTAGAAACAATTGGGGGCATTTCGGTTCATTTCCTCTGCTTTTGAGGGGTTCAGGATTCAGGGTTTAGTGTTTCAGGTTTCAGGATAAGGTGTACGACAGAGGGAGGCTCTGGGAGTTGGACTTCACAGGTCTCGGGAGGATGAAGACCTCGTAGATACGTATGTGCATATGTATATATAACCTAATATGTATATGTATATATATATGTGTGTAAAACATGTTTCAGATGATTAAGACCTAGGGCACTCCAACCAAAATCCCCCAAAATCCACGAACCAATCCAGAAGAAACGCACACCATTTAACAACGAGCAAGCCAGGTACCGGATGACGTAGGGATGCCAGGAGCTCGATTTCATGCAGCAGCTCCTTCGGATGGTTGTTAGGGTTTGGGGCTCTACGGTTAAGGGTTTAGGGTTACGGTTAAAGGTTTAGGGTTTGGGGTTTTAGGTTTTAGGGTTACAGTTTCAAAGTACAGGAACTGGACTTATGGTTGAAAACTGAACTTAAGGGGTGTAACTAGGGCGAAGCTGGCCGTAGCAAAGGAAGTGCGAAGTCGCAGTTGTGGAGATGCTCCGCAAAACATCTCATAGCAATACTGAAATAAAACATGAAGAAATCGTATACTGGATACAAGTCATAGCCAGTATCATCACTGTCATCAGGTTCGTAATAACGATTATTTAACATCTGCTGGAGCAAGGTAGGGCTGGGGATGAGAAGGTTTCAGGGCTTCGGATGTGACAAAGATGTAAAGGTACAAGATTGAGGAGCTTAGGACCAATCGTGGTGCTGCAGTCACAGACAAACAGTGAACAGTGGTGGCTGAAGCTTACGATGTGGAAAGAGATTTCCAGGCATCAAGGGAGTTCAGATTCTTGTCTTTAAGTTAGGCTTCGGCCTTGTGTACATGGCTGCAGGGCCTGTCGAAACTCGAGGCCTCAAGCGTCCAAGCCTTCGAACTCCGATTTACATCCTTGATTCGTTACCGGGGACTTTGTCATGCGAGAGCGAAGCCCGACCCATCTTTTTGCACAGGCAATATTCAGGGAACCCCTCCAAAGAATTGGACACCCTGAAATCAACACCTCACAAGCGCTTGGGTGTGTGTCAAGACAGCGGGCCCCACTTAAGGAGCATGTAAGGCAAACCAGGGACCTTTCAAAAAGGATCCTCTTGATCAGGAAAATACGGTCTTGGTCATAAACACTGGGTCCACACAGCTTGGGGTTTCAGGGATTAGGGCTTAGGACTGAGGGCTCAGGTTATAGTCAGAATCAAGAGCAGACCTGCCCAAGTACAATTCTCAATTGTACTGGCCCAAATACGGGCATGCCACGTACCAAGATCAAATTTCTTCTGTATGCCGTGAAAACGCCGAATGCAAGAGCGACTCAGGGTTTGCAGAAGCCGTAAACCCTAAACCTTAAACCCTAAACCTTAAACCCTAAACCCTAAACCCTAAACGCCCTAAACCCTAAACCAATTTTCAGACAACTCCACACAACGGCTCCTCATTAATTTCCTGCTCCATTTCCTCAGCTTTGGTCTCACTGCTCATCTGCTCAGATCCCAAACACTTCATCAGGACATAGAAAAGAATGCCCAGACCCGCAAAGGGATCTAAAAATTAAATCCCCTAGAACCATATGGGAAATTAAAGAAGGATTATATAGGGGTTATAATGAGTCTATATAGGGGATCTAATTTGTAGATCCTCCCAGGGGTCTGGGTGGGGAATGTGCGGGATGGTCTTGGGCGTCTGTAGGACAGTTCAAGACGCGACGGCATTATGTCTAAAAACCATTAGAAACCCCTGGAGATATTCGGAGCTTAAAGTGGGATTATGAGGGCTTCTAGAAATATTCTGTTGACAACGACCAGGTAAAACTTGAAACCTTCACTAGCCGGAAGAAATCAACCCTGAAACCTAGCCTTGCTGCCTCTACATCTTGCACACCAAATCAACGAAAACCCGAGTCTGGTAACTATCCAACGGTTCCCGGAACCCAATACGCTCCAGGCTCCCAAGCTAGCATCCTAAAACACTGAGCCCGGAGGCCTAACTTCCACACCCTTAGTTCCGAACCTCTGCAATTTGATTTCTCAAAAAAAACGCCCTGCTTCCAAATCCCAGGCACCTCGTCACCGGCTCTTTTGGGAGAAGCGGCCTGCACACCGCCACCCAGCCTCGATGGGTACACGACCACAGGACTACCAGTGCATTGTGGGGGCTTAAGTGCCAGAGTTTAAATCATGATCCCTGAAGCCCCTGATTCAGCGTGCAGGCCTTGAGGTGTAAGTTCGGGGCTGGGCCTGCAAGCCTCTACCTAAGCACTAAACGTAGACCCCAAATTGTCATACGTGTCTCATACTCCTTCTGCGGAACCCATCACTTTCGAACAAGAAGCTTTCTGTGGATCCTGCACCTGTAGAACAGGCAGCCCCTACTGAACGTAGCAAACAGGCATATGACACAATTGAAGTTGAAAAGCAGCTGAGATAGTAGAAGGCGGTTGTATGCGCCTCAACTAGCCTGATCCATCTTTTATGAACCCTTCACACTTGCATCCTCAATCATCCCCAATCATCCCTTCTTCTTCTTCGTGTTCTTCTTCTTCTGGCGGTGTGCTTTTTTGTTGGAAGCTGAGTTAGTTGAGTGACTGGCTCCTTCTATGGCCATCCTCCGAAGTCTTGAGCAGTGAAGATGTGGAGAAAACAACAGATGCCTTGTGGGTTCGATCCCAATCAAAATTTGGCTGGCTACATGGGGCTGTTACATGGGGCCACTTCTGCCTCAATATGCACATAGGGGCGCAGATTCTTTGCATGCCAAATCCTGATTCTCCCCAGCAACAACTATCATCGGACCTGGGCTTTGCAAATGATTGATGAAGCGTCTACAGCAGCTTATCAAACTCAGGACCTCCCCACATTCCCTCCCACAAAGCACGTCAAAGAGCAATACCTGACATATCATCAAGCCTTCCGAAATGCAGCCCAGCAACACCATGCTCTGCGACTTGCGAAGGTTCGTGACCTCAACTTGAGGGGGAAATTTACAGTGAGAGTCCCGCGTAAGTAGATAGAATATGGGGTATATGGGGATCTTACTATAATATACGCAAAGCCGTATTCTATCTACTTAAGGGGGACTATAGGGTTTTGGGCTAGGCTAATTGTTTGCAGCTTATCAGCTTCTAGCCTCAAAGTTCGGACCTTCACCCTTTACAATCCAACAGAATCTCTTTGCCGGGAACCAAATGATCCCTCATCCCAAACCCCCAGCCCCTAATAATAGATACCCCCAATTTCACGTTATCATAGCATATTCCGGCAGTGCGGAGGTTGACTCTTAGCAGAAGTAGACTAAGTCAAGTACCATACCGTTATCTGGTGGGAATGTCGCTGGCTGAGGTCTCTCCGCGCCAAGAGAGCTCTTCCATCATCAGGATTCATGGAGTCATGGATGGGGCTTCCAAATTTTCTAAGGGTTGATATAGGGATTGTAGAGGGATATGCACAAGGAGACAGAAATTGCAAATGAAACAGAAACTGGGATTACGGAGTGGTTTCTAGTGAGTAAGGATTCCCAAAATTCGGGGTCCCTCTTTGGGAGTCCCTCTATAGTTTTTAGGGTCCAAGGAGGAGGACCTGTGTTTCCGGAAACTGACGTATGGTCTCATGGCAGCTGGTTTTCATATCTACAAGTCCACACTTATTTTGGTCCCATGAACATACAACTCCTTGCCCAAAATGCTCATGACGTTCTTTCGAACTTTTCAGCCACAGGGAACCTTTTTGCAGATGTTGGTTTCGGAGCTTTGGAGTCTTGGAGTTCAAGGTTCCTGCTTCCAAGCCAGAACAACATCTGCAGATCTCGCCGTCGTAGAGTATTCAAAGGCCAAGTAGGTCAGTTGCCGGCCAAGTCTGCATAGCTACGCCTGAACCACCTTCTGAGCTGCCATCTCGACACAGCAAGATCTGCATTGCAAAAGGAGCCACTTCAGTCCATAACTAGCTCTATGGCATAGCGACCTGGGGCCTTCGAACCCTAAACGTAGCACAGCACATCCAGCTGGCAGCCACAAATAAGGGCGACATCGACAATCAAGGCACACGAATCCACGGAGTAAAAGCTTACGAATACAAATGAATCCCGAGCCAAGGACATGCCGATAATCTTCCACGGCCTGTGCTGCCGCTGATAGCCGCGGATAGAAGCGCTACATATATCACAGTAAGATGGACCTCAAGTGGGAGAGGTTTTTGCAGATCCGAGTTGCCCCGAGCAAGCTGCAAACTTAACACAGAGATCCAGCGCCGACCTAGAACCTCTTTGAGGAACTACCCACTTCGCCAAGGAAGCTTCTGACGGCCAAGCTGCCATGTTGGATTGCTGCATTTTTGCGCACTTCACCACCACAGTGGTCCCCTTCCAGTTTGCCAAGTGCACCGCACCTTGGCTAGGTGTCTAAGCCCGTGCATTCGTCTAAGGGATTGGAAACCACTCAAATCCAGCATATGCAAAGCTACAGCAGGGTTTCCTTCTGTAGGAGGTTAAAGGCGGCCCAGATTCCTAAGTTGCGGTTTCGGACTCAAGGACGCAGCCGTACACCCATGCAGAAGTGTAGGCAAGAATGCTGTTACCTAATTGCCACCTCTGCGCAAAACAATTGATCTGAATAAGTACTCTCCGGTCTACACAACAAAGAACATGCGGCCTCTATGATATCGTCACGATAACGTGATTTTCTGAAAGCAAGTGCTCCCAAAGGTACTGTGCTTGTATTTCCGTAATTTCCGGCCAAAACGTTAAGAAGCAATCATCCGTATAATCTTCGTGGTCGACCCCTTGAACCCACCAAAACTCCATCGATTCCTTGCAAAGTCTGCACACCAAGTCGAGGTGCTCTTCAGCGTCTTGCCAATCTGTTTCCTCCGCACACGAAGCAGGCATGATCTCATGAGATACAACACTTGCAGGTCAGGCGCTACGGTTGATACTATCAATCCTACATGAGGTCAGTCTACTAGGGTTCTTCCCGGGGCTCAGGGTGCAGGATTGCTTATATCAAGAATAATGCGGTGTGTTCCGGAAAGTTCTTCCAAAAGCAACCCGGGCGTCGTGAACCCCTCCCCCAGTACCCCTTCCGATGTCCAGCATTCTAGCGGCGGAACATGCAAGAGACAGTTCCTGCAGGCAGCTTTTGAGAAAACATCTTGCTCTGCATTGGGATCTGTATTGTGCTGAAGACAAATCTTTGACATTTGCCTTCGCTGCAAAACTTCCACCATGCAGCATACATGGCCTGTCAGATCCCTTGGCTAAGTGGCAAAAGTAGTTTGAAAATGATGGGTTGCAAGGAGCATGTCTGATAATGTGGGTTGCATGCTCACACCACCCACAATGCATGAGAAAACCAGCCGTACTTTACTCGAAAACCTGACAAGCTATTCAAAAGAACCTGAAGAAAATCTCTTCTGTTGACAACCCTGGAATCAAGAATCCCAATCTTCGATGGTGTGCTTCTCGCAGGGCCAGTAACCCGGATCTCTGAACGTGTGACCAAGTCTGAGACCAGCGGCTTCAACACAATCTCGTCGGGCTTCAAAAGCCAGAAGCCTCATGAAAATCATGATCGCTCTTCGCCAAGAAGGCAAACTTTTGGTGTCCAACTAGTTGAAGGGGAAATGTCTTGCAGCATTGTAAACATTCTGGTCCCTGTCATCATATAATGACACAAATATATTCTCATAAGAGCCTAAGGGGGATCTCAAAAAAAAGCTCTATTTCTGGCCAGCCCTTGGCATCATCCCTCATCCCTCCGCGACCGAAATACTTTCGCGTGCCCGCGACTCGAGCTCCTCGCGCTGGACCTTGGCCCCATGCTCCTGCGGGTGGATGTTTTTGGGGTGTGGCATTGGGAGATTGAGAGCCTTTGCAGCAGCCATGCGCTTCTCACACTGCTCTTGAAAGCGGCAAACTAAAACTGAAACAGGTGGGGCACAGGGGTGGCCACCATGGTTGAGGGTTTAGGGATGAGATGGCTTGAGCACTGTTGTTTTGAGTTGAGGGTTTGGGTTCAGGTTGTTCGGGGTTGAGGGTCTACAGTCTATTGCAGAACCAGGTAGAATTAACTCAATTGCTTGGCCCCTGGCATATCACCGCCTCTTCCTATATTACATATTGCCGTGCTGCTTTGTTTGCTGAGTAGTGGCCATGTAGCAGGAAAATTAAACGATGGGAATACTTGAGATCGAGACAGCAATTGCAGAAAGGCATGACTATTGCAATCGAGAAAAATTGGACTGCACCAAATTCATGAGAGCAATACCACTCACGAGACTAGGAATGTTATGTTTTGAGGAGTTTTTGTCGTTTCTGTACTTTTTTGTTTTTGGCTTCTTGGCCTCTTGGCTGTCTGGCTCTGGTCCCCTCGTCCTGTAGTCCTCTGGTCCCGTGGTCCTCTGGTCCCGTGGTCCTCCGGTCCCGTGGTCCTCTGGTCCCGTGGTCCTCTGGTCCCGTGGTCCTCTGGTCCCGTGGTCCTCCTGTCCCGTGGTCCAAAGGTTCCCGGTCCCTGTCAAATGCTGTTATTTTCATTGCCGGAGAATCTCCCAAGCCGGCAAATGCTGTAGCTTGCAGCAGTTGAAGCGTTCCAAGACAAGCAAACGCTATAATTTACAGAGTTTCAAGCGTTCCAAGACCAGCAAATGCTGTAATTTGCAGCATTCCCATATTCGAAAATGGAATTGTCAGCGTTTCAAGACCAGCCGATGTTGTAATTTACAGTATTGGACATGTTCCACGACCAGCAATTTGTGTAACGTGCAACATTTGAAACATTCCAACTTGGCTTCGTCCAGCCCTGGTGTGGCTCGGTCCTGGTGTGGCTCCGGGTCCTGTGGTCCTCTGGTCCTCCGGTCCCGTGGTCTGGAAGTCCCCGGTCCTTTTCCAACGCTGTCATTTGCAGCGTTTGAAACGCTCCTAAACCAGCAAATGCTGTAATTTACGGTGTTTGAAATGTTCCAAGAGTGTCATTATGGCGTTTGGCGTCCTGCGGCCCGCGGCCCGCGGATCGCGTGTTTTCTGTGTAGAAGTCTCTAGGATGAGGGCGCTTAGATTTCCAAATCTCCGCGCCGCCGTCAGAAATCCAGACTTTCCCCCTTTTCCAGGATTTGTTTGTTAACGTATGGTTTTGGGTCTTTAGCGTGCTGCCACCACTACCACCCCACCACCACCACCCCACCACCTCTACTACCAAACAAGCACCAAGCTCTCATAGCCGTCCATGTATTGCAAGAGGGGGGCCTGCGCCCTCCCTCAACCCCCCCGCTATGCTTCGCCTCCCATAGCGTGTTCAAACGGCGACAGTAACGGGGATCTCGATTCTTTCAAACTCCAATGGAGGATCCGAGGATCTAAACGCATTCACAGTTGCCGGGATCGCGACCCTAACCCCCCGATCCCTGCGACGGTTGAGACTTTTGACCCTCCCAAAGGATCCGAAGGTCCAAAAGCGACGACAGTTACGAGGATCGCGACCCCAAACCCCACGATCCCTGTGACTGTTGGAGAAACCAGAAAACAAAAAAAAACTAAAAACAAACTAAATCAATTTCGCACCCCCGAGACTAGCATGTCTAGGAGTCTAGCACTCACTGCGGTTGTTGGTGCTGCTGCTCGTGCACGAGCCGCAGCAGCAGATTCATCATCACAGAATGCCTAACAGGGCTAGACCTGCCCTTCGAACAAGGTATCCCTCCCAAGGTTGGAATGCATAGTCCGACGCATGAAGCCCTTCAGGTCATGAGATCCTCCAGCACAGCCTTCATGGTCAAGTTCCCCGCTCGCAGGCAGATATCCTGGAAGAGCAAAACAGAAGTGGAGCTTTTAGTCCAAAGGGTTCTAGAGGGGTCGGCTCCAGCACTGCTGGAATCCTTGCTGCAAGCTCGGACTTGCAGGACGTGCCTAGTAGGGTCACACCAAGCCACGGACCTCATGATTGGAGAAAAAAATGCTGACGGGAGATGCAGGAAAGGCTTTCTCAATTCCTTCGTAGACAGCCTGCTGGGAGAATGCGCTCAGAAACACCAAGACCCTCTATGCAAGGCCCGAAAACTAAACCAGCATCAGAGTGCTGCCCGAGACAACCTGTCACCCAGAACTCCACTTCGTGATTTTCGTGCTGCCGCCCACACCACGGCTGCCAAAACCACCACCGCCGACGCCGCTGCCGCCGCCACCACCGCCACCACCGCCAAC